TTCCGACCTCCCCTCGGTTTTTCTTGTTACGCCCATTTTCCGACCTCCCCTCGGTTTTTCTTGTGACGCTCATTTTCCAACCTCCCCTCGGTTTTTCCTGTGACGCCCATTTTCCGACCTCCCCATAATTTTTCTTGTTACATCCATTTTCCGACCTCCCCTCGATTTTTCTTGTGACGCCCATTTTCCGACCTCCCCATAATTTTTCTTGTTACATCCATTTTCCGACCTCCCCTCGATTTTTCCTGTTACGCCCATTTTATAGCTAAACGAGACTTGGTCAGTCTAATAATATCTACCAGTTAATTACACCTTGTGTAAGTTACCGATTGTGCTCTTTTTTGGAGGATTTCCTGCTACTCAGGATGCTGTAAATTATGCGTGTGGTGAACCATTCCGTGGCCGTCTCTGCTGTTTCCTGATCAGAAATAAAATGTCCCGGTTGACTCCCAATTTTCTTGGCTGAATGATGCTGGATAGGCATGATGGGACAAAAACTATCCTGCCCCCCAACACCCCAGCCTTGCCTGCATGCGACGTGCACCAGACTTGAGACAGGCCTGGGTTTTGCTTGGTTAGAAATCGGTATGTTGGGCAAAGCAGACGCAGCGTGTCTATAGCAAATCTGCCGGCTGACAGCAACACGGCTCCTTTCTCCTGTCCAAGGGATCGGTAAAATGGTTCACGAGCCGGGAAGACAGAGGAAACCGAAAAAAAAAGGGGGGGGGGGGGGGGGGGGGGGGGTAGAATGGGGGTGGCTGCCAGCGGATTTTCAAAGTAAAACTACCAAAAGAACCAAATGAACCAGCCAAGGAAATGGAATTAATTCATTGCTTCTCATTCGACTATTTCCGGAAAACCTAACACACGCAGGCTATGTCTACCTAGCAGCGTTTATTCGGAATAACTGACGTTAACCCATAACAGAAGAACGAGGGGTCTCCAAATGAAATGAACAGGCAGCAGGTTTCGAACAAACCAAAGGAAGATTTTCTTCATGCAGCGCACAGTCAACCTGTGGAACTCCTCGCCAGAGGATGTTGACAGGAGAGGGATCACGTGTTCCCTCCCTCTGGGGCATCTGGAATTGGCCACTGTCGGCAGCTAGGACACTGGGCTGGAAGGACTTTTGGTCTGATCCAGTCTGGCCGTTCTTATGTTAAATGCTAAGAGTAGGGGTACGTCTACACTACAACCCTATTTTGACAAAACTAGCACGATTCCGAAATAACTCAGTTCGCGTCTCCACAGCAGGCAGTTATTTCGACATAATGTCGAAATAATGGTGAGCTGGAGGACTTCTTACTCCGCTTCCTGTAACCCTCATTGTACGAGGAGTAAGGGAAGTCGGAGGAAAAAGGCTCTAACTTGGACTTCCTGCTGTGTAGACAGTGCCAAAAACCGAAATAAGCTATTTCGACTTCAGCTACACAATTGTCGCCTACATTGTGTAGCTTATTTCGGCTTTAGCCCACACAGGCCTATTGATCATGGCTATTAATGACGCTGCAGCAGACGAAAAATCAGCGATGAATCTTCATCACGTGCCCCCTGAGGTACGTTGCACTAAGAGGAACGAAACTGTAATCGACGAGTAACCCCTTAAAATGGAACAAAGATTCTGTTTTCTTCACGCTAAAGTACACCCTCCTCCCAAACCCCCCCCCAACTGATCTCAGATTTAAAATAAGGAAACTTTTATTTAAGTAATCCAAACGGATCGAAGAAACCAAGACAAAAAGCTTCCTTTACTCCTCATGACTGGTGGCACCCTCAGCATTCAATTTAGCAGGTCTTAAGTAGACCTGCTCAATCAAACGCCAGAAGATCGATCTGCATCGCGGTAGGTGAAGTCGTGGCCATAGAGAAACCATTTCAGGTAACCACGTAGAAGGTCAGTGAAGCAACTGGATTAAACACACTATAATTCAACTTGATAGTCAAACTTTTAAGAGCAAAACAAAATTTAGATGGCACTAAATAAGCTGGATAGGACAACATTGAAAGTAGTGTCAACAGCACAAAATCTCCCAAAATTATTACCTACTTCTTTCTCTTCTGTCTTAAGAAGGGAGCATCGTGAGGCGAAGCATGATTTAAGGCTAATTAGCAAGTCACGATTTTTACCGTTCAAAATTCAGCAGCGGATAGGCCCACCTATCTAGCTGGAAATGGTTACAGAGAGGCACACAATAAACGGGGTACGAGAAGAACTCAATTATTATACAACACCGTAAATGACAGAAGATCGGCAGCAGTCGTAGGCAATTGTGAAAGCTGAGAAAGTCATTTCATTAACCGAGGAATTCAAATGAAATTTAAATCAAGCAGACGGAGGGAGTTTTCTTAGAAAGCCGATTATTGGTGGTATATTGCAAGAAGTTCCCGGCATTTGAGTTAATTGGGAGAAAAATAGAGATTATTAAAGATAATTCCATACAACAGTGGCTAAACCTTGTAATACGCATCTATACAAAGAAAACGATCACAAATTAACTTGTATTTAATTTATAACATTGAAAGTACAATAGTTCCCCTTCCAGTTCTATCATTCTACGATGCGACCTCTGAGCATGGCTATTGTCGGAGGAACTTCTAACTTCCCAGGCTCCTGACTTGAAGGAAGAGGTAAGACCCGCTTTCCAAAGTGAGATAGGAAGAAGATAGGATCTCTTTCAAAAACAAAGCGTAGTTTAGACGTACCCCAAGAGAGTCCCACGTCACCCTGTCCCGTACCTTGCTAGCTCAGATCCTGCTGCTCAAAATGTTGCCTCTGCAGGTGGTGCAGAGACACAAATCCGACATCCGCCACCTCTTAGGTGAATAAAATAACCAGCGGACCAAAGGTTATACACCCGCTTTTCCACCTGCCTCCCTGTCTTGCGTGGTCATAATTCAAAACGATCCGGACAAAATGGAGAAATGGTCGGAAGTCAATTGGACGACGTCGAATACGGACAAATGCAAAGTGCTCCACTTAGGAAGGAACAATCCGTGTCACACACACAAAACGGGAAGCGACCCTCTAGGAAGGAGTCGGGCACAAAGGGATCTAGGGGTCCCTCAAGCTAAACGAGAGTCAACAGTGTGACACTGTTGTAAAAAAAAGCAAACCTGATTCAGGGATGCATTCATAGGTGTGTTGTGACAAAACCCGAGGAGTCATTCTTCCGCTCTCCTCTGATTAGGCCTCAGTTGGAGGATTGTGTCCAGTTCTGGGCACTACCTTTGGAGGAAGAGGTGGAGAAATTGGAGAAGGTCCAGAGAAGAGCAACAAGAACGATGAAAGGTCGAGAGAACATGAGCGATGAAAAATGACGAAAAGTCGAGAGAACATGAGATTTGAAGGAAGGCTGAAAGAATTGGGCTTGTTTCGTTTGGAAAGGAGAAGACCGAGAGGGGACCTGAGAGCGGTTTTCAGGTACCTAAAAGGGTGTCACAAGAAGGAGGGAGAAAAATTGTTCTCCTTGACTTCTGAGGACAGGACAAGGAGCAATGGGCTTAAACTGCAGCAGAGGAACTTCCAACTTCCCTGGTTCCTGACTTGAAGGAAGAGGTCGGCACCTATCTCCAGGAACGATGGAGAGGGCTTAGAAGATTCCTTTCGTGGTGGGATCTACCACTGGGCAATCTAGATGGCTTCCCACCAAGAACCCTGGGTTTTGTGGCCTACCCAGCTATGATTATTTTTCACAGAATACTAGAACAGGAAGGCGGCGCTAAAGTAGAGGAGGAACTTTTCTTGATGTGGTTTTTCTTCACGCCGCGCACAGTCAACCTGTGGAACTCCTCGCCACAGGATGCCGTGAAGGCCAGGACTTTACCGGGGTTCAAAAAAGAGCGAGATAGATTCGTGGAGGTGAGGTTCATCAATGGCTACGAGCCAGGATGGGTACGGAGGGTGTCCCGAGCCTCTGTTTGTCTGGGAATGGGTGACAGGGGAGGGATGACGTGAGGATTCCCTGTTGCGTTCCCGCCCTCGGGGGCACCTGGCATTGGCCACTGTGGGCAGAGAGGACACTTAGGGCAAAATGGACTTTGGGTCCGACCCAGTCTGGCCGTTCTGATGTTCTAATGTGAGTGGATGGAGAGGGTCCACAGGGCGGTGTGTATGCGTGTAAGTAATGAACAAATCTCATCGCAACAGGAATCTTATATCAGACTCTTGATCGACACCACTCTGCTCCAGGAAGGACGTTTCACTCATAAGAACATGAGAACGGCTGTACTGGGTCAGACCAAAGGTCCATCTAGCCCAGTATCCTGCCTGCCCACAGTGGCCAGCACCAGGTGCCCCAGAGAGGGTGGACCGAAGACAACGATTAAGCAATTTGTCTCCTGCCATCCCTCTCCAGCCTCTGACAAACAGAGGCCAAGGACACCATTTTATCCCCTGGCTAATAGCCTTTTATGGACCTAACCTCCATGAACTTATCTAGCTTCTCTTTAAACTCTATTATAGTTCTAGCCTTCACAGCCTCCTCTGGCGAGGAGTTCCACAGGTTGACTACACGCTGTGTGAAGAACTTTCTTGTATTAGTTTTAAACCTGCTCCCCGTTAATTTCATTTGGTGTCCTCTAGTTCTTCTATTATGGGAACTAATAAATAACTTTTCTTTATCCGCCCTCTCCACCCCACTCATGATTTTATAGACCTCTATCCTATCCCCCCTCAGTCTCCTCTTTTCTAAACTAAAAAGTCCCCGTCGCTTTAGCCTCTCTTCATATGGGACCCGTTCCAAACCCCTAATCATTTTAGTTGCCCTTTTCTGAACCCTTTCCAAGGCCAAAATATCTTTTTTGAGGTGAGGAGACCACATCTGTACACAGTATTCAAGATGTGGGCGTACCATAGTTTTATACAGGGGCAGTAAGATGTTCTGGGTCTTATTTTCTATCCTTTTCCTAATAATTCCTAGCATCCTATTTGCCTTTTTGACCGCCGCTGCACACTGCGTGGAAGTTTTCAGAGAACTGTCCACGATAACTCCAAGATCTCTTTCCTGATTTGTCGTAGCCAAATTAGCCCCCATCATGTACGTATAGCTGGGGTTATTTTTCCCGATGTGCATTATTTTACACTTATCCACATTAAATTTCATTTGCCATTTTGTTGCCGAATCACTCTCTCCTTTAATAGCGACGGCAGGTCCTCCTGTACAAGGACACGCCTGACTGGCCTACGCCTTTTCACAGGACTTTAATGAAGGTCTTCTGCCCACGGCCCACTCCAAGGGGGTCTCCCCATTTGCTTTCCGAGGAGTCTTTCCTCCGTTTAGGTCGCGGCCACGTCTCTGCCCGCCACGTGGGTTCTCTGGTGCTTCAGAAGGGTGGATTTCCGACTGAAGCTTTTCCCACACTCGGGGCAGTTGTAGGGCCTCTCGCCCGTGTGGATTCGCTGGTGCTGAATTAGGTTGGAGCTCTGGCTGAAACTCTTCCTGCACTCGCCGCAGCGGTACGGCCTCTCCTCCAGGTGGGTGCTCTGGTGGTTGCAGAGGGCGGAGCGGCTACAGAAACTTTTCCCACAGTCCCGGCACTTGTAGGGTCTCTCCCCGCTGTGGATTCGCTGGTGTCTCTTCAGGGCCGTGACGACGTTGAAACGTTTCCCGCATTCGGGGCACTTAAAGGGCTTCTCGGCCATGTGGGTCCTCTTGTGCGTCACGAGGGTGGACTTCAGGCGGAAGCTTTCTCCGCAGTCGGGGCAGGGATAGAGTCTCTCGCCCACGTGGATCCTCTGGTGCGTGTACAAGTTGGAACTCTGGCTGAAACTCTTCCCGCACTCGCTGCACTTGTAGGGTTTCTCCCCCGTGTGCGTTCGCTGGTGGCTGGTGAGGTGGGCGCTGTGGCCGAAGGTTTTCCCACACTCGGGGCAGATGTATGGTTTCTCTTGGGTGTGGGTCCTCTGATGAGACAGAAGGGTGGACCTGCGACTGAAGTTTTTCCCACACTTGGGACAGGCGAAGGGTTTCTCCCCCGTGTGGATCCGCTGATGGGACAGGAGGTTGGAGCTCTGATTGAAGCTTTTCCCGCAGTCGGGACAGGTGTACGGTTTCTCCCCTGTGTGGATTCGCTGGTGTTGGATCAGGTTGGAGCTCACGCTGAAACTTTTCCCGCACACGGGACAGTCGTAGGGCCTCTCGCCCGTGTGGGTCCTCTGGTGCAGGAGAAACTTGGAGCTGACGCCGAAGCTTTTCCCGCATTCGTTGCATTTGTAGGGTTTCTCCCCCGCGTGGATTCTCTGACGCAGAACGAGGGCTGAGCTTTGACCCAAGCCTTTCCCGGCGGAGTAGCGTCCTCCTCCCTGCTGGAGACTTGCTCTGATTTTCTTGACACCTCTGTTCCTGCGTGCGGATTGGCCGGGTCTCTTCCCCGAGTGGTTCCCCCGCCTCCTTTCTGGTCTGTGCTGAATTTCACAGGCGACTTCCGCCTCGGGATTCGGGGAACCTTCTCCATCACCTCGTCCAGACCCCACCTCTTGGGGGTCCACCCGCTCGGAACATTCTTGCTGGGAATTCTCCTCCTCGTCTTGACGCCCGGACCCATCACCTGTAAGGACACAGAGAGAATCCAGACAGTGTCACATTGTTGGCTCATATTTAGCGTGCGGTCCACTATCACCCCTCGATCCCTTTCTGCCGGACTCCCTAGACAGTCGCTTCCCGGTCTGTGTGTGGGGGACACAGATTGGTCCTTCCCAAGTGCAGCACTTTGCATGTGTCCTTATTCAACGTCATCCTGTTGACCTCCGACCAATTCTCCAATTTGTTTGGATCCGTGTTTTATTAACCTGTGTTCCGTAGCACACCCCTGGGCGGCGGGGCAGTTGGAGGTGTGCCACAGAGAACAAGAGTTCAAAATGGCCACCCTTAAAGGAGCAGGTGACTTTTTTTTTTTTTTTGGGTCAATAACTTTTCCCCGCCCTCCCTTCCCGGGCTCTGTCGACAGAACTGGATGTCGTCTAGACGCTGTTTGTCAACAGAAGCTTTGTCGACTGGATCTGTCGGCAAAACTTACATAAGAACATAAGAACGGCCGGACTGGGTCAGACCAAAGGTCCATCTAGCCCAGTATCCTGTCTGCCCACAGTGGCCAGCACCAGGTGCCCCAGAGGGGGTGGACCGAAGACAACGATCAAGCGATTTGTCTCCTGCCATCCCTCTCCAGCCTCTGACAAACAGAAGCCAATGACACCATTTCTATCCCCTGAATAATAATCTTTTATGGAAATTATCTAGCTTCTCTTTAAACTCGATTATAGTCCTAGCCTTCACAGCATCCTGTGGCAAGGAGTTCCACAGGTTGACTACACGCTGTCCACAAAAGTCTGTGGTCTCGACGGACCCTAGCTGGAGAGAAACCGCCCAGGATGAAGGAGGGACAAAGCCAAAATTCCTTTGTCCGCGTTTGAAATTCCTACCTACATTCCTATTGGCCAACTCTACCTGGGTTAGGTATCGTTAACTCCTTAGTCCCCATGATCATGACAGACCGTAAGGAGACCCATCCGTCCTCCCAGCAGGGCAGAAGGATGGGACAAGCTCCGTGAACAGGCCCAGGTGTTGTGTGCCGGGAGAATAGGAGAACCCAGGATGAAGGAGGGAAAAACCCAAAATTCCTTTGTCCGCGTTTGAAATTCCTACCTACATTCCTATTGGCCAACTCTACCTGGGTTAGGTATCGTTAACTCCTTAGTCCCCATGATCATGACAGACCGTAAGGAGACCCATCCGTCCTCCCAGCAGGGCAGAAGGATGGGACAAGCTCCGTGAACAGGCCCAGGTGTTGTGTGCCGGGAGAATAGGAGAGCGGAGGACTCGGTAGGCGCAACGGATTCCTCACCTGCGCGGGGGTCTCTCGGACGCTCCCGTTCCTCCCAGCCCCGGAGATCGGGAACGCAGAGCCGCTCTCCTCGCGCCAGCCGGGAGAGCACGTCCGCTTTGGAAGCCGAGACGCCTGCGTGGGAGGGAACGGGGGCGGGGGGAAGGGTTGGTTTTGTTCGTTAAACTCGGGGCTCCGAGTGCTGTTAATGCGAGGATCCGCGGAGCGCACCCGGAGACGCGTCTTTTCCGCACCCGCCTCCCGGCCGAGACTCAGCTAGGGACAGGCCAAGGTCTCATGAGAGAGAGATCGTAGGGACAGCAGAGCGGCCACATTGGGGCAGAGCAAAGCTCCGTCTGCCCCCCCCTCACAGAGTCATGGAAGAGCAGCACACACACACACACACAGAGTCATGGGAGAGCAGCGCACACACACACATGCGCACACACACACACGCACACAGAGTCACGGCAGAGCAGCACACACACACACACAAACACACACAGTCACAGCAGACCAGTGCGCGCGCGCACACACACACAGAGTCACGGCAGAGCAGCACACACACACACACACACACACACACACACAGAGTCACGGCAGAGCAGCACACACACACACACACACACACACACAGTCACAGCAGACCAGTGCGCACGCACACACACACAGAGACACGGCAGAGCAGCACCCGCGCACACACACACA